TGACTAAAACTTCAATAAGATTTAAATTTTTAATAAAAATATTTTAAATAAAAATAAATTACATGTTCATTTAATAAAATTATAATAAAATTTTTTAAAAAAACCTCAAAGGCATTTCTTCTTTTTCCTGATAACTTCCTCATGATCAATGAGTTCAAATACATATTTTGAGATTACTACGACTTTTTTATTCAATTCTTTGACAATAACATCAAAATGGGATTGGATCTTGTAATTGTTATAAAAGACAATATGATATGTATCCTTATTCTTTTCCATATAATTTTTTTTCATGTAATAAACATTCCCTTCAGTCAACTTATCCTTAAATCACAAAGCATTAGAACTTTAAATTATAACATGAATAAAATTTTTCTACAAACAAATGATTATCATTAATAGAATTCATTAAATACCTAAAAGATCAAATGTAATAACTTATAAAATTAGTCAACAACTTAAAATAACTCAATGGTAATCTTCTTTTGTTAAAAATAAGAGGTTTTGTGTTCAAATCACAAGGTATGTGGGTAGAGTGAATTAAAAGATGAAAAATGATCGACTTCCACTGTGCAACCAAGAAAAAAAAAATAAAAAAATAAAAAAATAAAAAAAATAAAAACTAACTTATAAGATTACATTCTCATTGACCAAAACCATTTCAGTAGTTAGATGGTCTATGTTATGTTTCAAACAAAAAACATCTCATAATTTACATATTCATACTTTAATCTTCTAATCTTCCTTATCGAGTGAAATTTGATCAAGAAATACATGTTTCATATCTTTTGTAATTTACCTCTATATAACAAAGTATTAAAATTAAAGAAAAAATGAAACATAATTAGGGAAAAAAAAGAAATTAATGGTTAAAATCAAATATGTATTCATATTGAAAAAATGAAATCCAAGAAAAAAAATCTCTAAAATAAAACAATAATAAAAAAAATTTCTCACTTATAACTAAAATCTTTTAAAAAATAAACGTCTGGGGTTTAAATTGTCCATACTTAACTCTTTAAGATCGAAGTTCCATTTGTTTTCTTTTCTATTTTTAAATATTCAAATGATATTGTCTCTTCATCCATCAAAGAAGGAAAGCTTTTTAGTTTCCTCTTAATCCGTTTCCTCGGCAACGCAACAGTGTTGCATTTTCATCTACCAAAAGGATAAATTGATCTTTTCAATATTAATAATTAATAATCAACATACTATTCATCTAAATTATATAATAAGT